CTAGTTCCAGCCGGACTAGTCCGGCAAATAGGTCGTTTTTTGGTCGATCTGGCTTTTTTCGCGGACTAGTCCGCTCGCTTTTGCGGACTGATGACGGACTGTCCAACCGGACTCTTTGCGGACCGAAAACGGACTGATGCCGGACTAAACTTTTTCGTACGGGACTGGTTGAGCACCCTCCTTCAACGCCAAACTTACTTCAAAACCCTTGATGGGCGTAGTTTCTCCACCAAAGACAACTGGATATTTTCTTCGCAATTCCGCTGCAAGAAGTTTTTCATCAGTAGTAGAGACAGTATAAATTTCAGTGTTTTCAGGGAACAAAGATTCAAAATCTGGTCTAAGTTCTCTGATCCATGGTAAACCATAGAGACTAGGGAAGGTTCTATCCACAACACATAATGGTAACATTTTTACTTTGCCATTATACTCAACCTTCACTTCCATTTCACCTAACATTGGCAAGGGTTTGCCCCAGATGAGTGATGGTGTTGGTCGCAGTGGTACATTTGCAAAAAATCTTTGGTATGTTGCTCTGTCAATAGTCGACGCAGTGGCTGCAGTATCCAATTCCATGTTTAGTGGAACTCCATTTACCACAGCACTTATCTTCACTAGCTCACTTCTAGAACTCTTCAGAGGCCACAGCTCAAAATGAGGAGCTCGGGGCTCAGGTTGCTCTTCTTCTGTGTAAACAACTTTAACCTATTTCTTCTCTGGTTTAGCTTTCTTTGGCTTCTTGCACGCAGGAGCATAATGTCCCAATTCTTGACAATTATAGCAACGTACCTTTTGAATATCAAAATTTTTCGCCTTCTTCTTTTTCTCTGATTTTGGTTCTTCACCACTTGAATTTGGTTTCTTCTTTGGTTCTGGATTTTTCTTCTGCTGCACTTTCATGACAGATGCTTGGATCGACGCCTTCTCATACATTTGTTCGAACTTAGCCGCTTCAGCGATCACTTCGGTAAAAGTGGGCTTCCCATCTGACACTTTTTCTTTCACTTTACTCGACCTCAAATTGTTGATAAATTGTGTTTGCAGCGTGTCATCCAAACTAGCACCAAATTCACAAAACTTACTTAGCTGATACAAGGCTACGGAAAACTCAGAAACTGATTCATTTTGGCCTTGTTTTCTAGCATAAAACTTCTCTCTTTCAGAATTCTTGTTGCGCTTGGGTTTGAAGTGATTTCTAAGCATATCTTCTAGCTCATCAGCTGTCTTGCCTTCTGGATCTCCGGCACCGCACAGACCATCCAAAACTGCGTATGCTTCTACACCTACCTCGGCCAATAACCAACGTTTACGTTTTGCATTGTAAACTTTTAATGACTCTGCATAGGCTTCTCTCTCTGCCGCATTAGCCCCAGCTCTCAAGGGCTCCGGCGCTTCAACACCACAAGTGAACAAATAAGAGGTGAATCGTTTCAAGTATTGTTCAATATCCATTGTGCCATAAGGCTGGAAATGCCCAAAGCCCGTTCTTCTTGCTTCAGCCATTTCTTGATATTTCACACACTCTTGACGTAAATTCTTTGATTAGCAATTCCGCTGAATCATCCTCGTCGCCACTGTAATAACGTCAGGTTATTATCTTCTTAGAGTTCATTGATGTTCTTGGATTTGTATGAATAAATTAGAACACATTCT